AAAAGGGAGAGAGAGAGAGAGAGAGAGAGAGAGAGAGAGAGAGAAAAAGGGAAGGAGGAGAGGAGGGCGTTTTCAGCACTGTTATTGGAGCCGGAGAAGTCATTTTGACTTAAAGAGTTCCAGATGTGGGCAAGCCCCTGAGAAAGAAAGCGAGTCAGAGTGAAATCCAGGAGGAGGATTTATCAGACTGTACCCTTCCACATGATCAGTAGTCTACCGTCCCGTCCCCATCTGGTTTGAGAGCGGGATAAGCAGATATTTACTTTTGGCTGTTGTGGCTTGGTGGGGGGAGTGGAAGGGGGGGGCTACATCAGCAGAAAAGTCTGTGAAAAGTCAGGTTTAGGGTGTGGGGTGTCAGGTGGTCTGGGTATGTGGCCTGCACAGCCCGCTTCTTGGCCTATTAAAAGCTAAGGTGGTCAGAATAAGAGTCATTATTACACACACACACACACACTTTCAAAACAAAAGATTTCATTTTGCAATGAAATGGCTCTACCTCAAGCACCTGGCCATATAATGGTCAGGTCCGACGCACCGGACTCCATTGTCGTTGCCACTTGCGGGCTTAACCGGAATGCACATTGTGAAGAAACCAGTGCAGGCTGCACATTGACATGAAATGTATGGAACCAGTGAATGTGTGTGCCTGCGCATGCTGCCTGCCTTCTTTCATGGTGAATTCACCTCAAACCTTTAGAAAAGTTGGCATTAAGCCCTTTTCCTTCACACACAGCCTAATGCTTGCTCAGAAAGGGGCCCCGCATGACATGTCATCAACAGGGATGCTGGGGCCCTGACATAATAGCCACCCCTCTCTCTGTGTGTGTGTGTATAAGGATGTTTATGCCCAGCTTCCACAGCTTTTGTTTTCAGTTCCTCTGTGTTGGGATAAGCTGCACGATCACACAACAAACGGCTATTGTGCTGAAGTGAAGAGCTCTGCTTTGGGGAGCTGGTAGCGAGCCACAAAACAAAGGCTGGTTACAATGTCCCTACACAAGCTCATGAATCAACTCAACACTGGGCTGCCAAAAGCAGCCACCGAATGGGTCTTCTGGGCCTTAACGAAGAGGGAAAGTAGAGCGAGCTGATAGAAGGAGGGATGTGAGGGTGGAGGAGGAGGAGGAGGAGCAGGATGTGCTGCTGGAGCTGGAAGAGAGGAGGAAGAGACGGAAGATATGTGGGGATGGCGGATGGAAGAAGGGGGGGGATTTGTCCAACGGGGAGGAGCGCGAGCGGGGCTGAGGAAATGGAAGAAGGGGAGGATTTGAAAGGAGTGCAGCCAAAACACAGCAGGAGGATGAGAGGGGGGGGTCAGCATAAACAGAGAGCTGTGTCAACATACAAGACTCCTGCCTGCGCCATGAGACGCTCTGCTCCCCGAATTGCAGCCTTAGAACAAGAGGGACACGTGTGGGCTCAACGGCAGGAATGGTGGATTGATGTTGTGACAATTGAAGTTGAAGGTTTAACTAAACAAAAAAAACTAATTTCAGCCATGGTTGGAAACTAAACACCTTCATTGTTTGTATCTGATGCCCCTGTTGTGTGTTTTCCTATTCTGACAAGTCAAATTAGCGACAGATCCGTCAAACGCTCAGGCACAAAGCTGCTTATTGTGTCCAGCAGCAGGCCACATTTCACCTTTTCCACGCGGTGAGGGAGTGGAAAGTGGTGGCAATGGAAGGAGTGTGTGAGGGAAGAAAAAGTAAATTGACATCCATCACAACACACAGCAAAACTCACGCAATTAACTGGACACTGAGCTTCCTGTGCACCGAAAAGAAAAGAAGAGTAATATATTTACCATTGGCGTTCTTCCCACAGATCAGGTGCTCGTAGTGCTGCAGGACGCCCCAAAGTTCCGCGTCATTGTTCACCACCCCCTCCAGGGCCTCCGCGCTCACCGGGGCCCCTGCCAGCCACGACTCCGGGCCCGAATGACCCTTCTCGGCCATCAGCACCCGGGCTCCTATCTCCTCCACCAGCGCCTCCATGCACGCGGTCAGGCATATGGCCGCGTACTCGTGGATGCGCACGGAGATGCGGGTGTCCACCATCCACCGGAAGAAGCGTCCCACGGAGAAGGCGAGGCCGCAGCGGGAGGACTTGCCCTTCCTCAGCAGCTCCCCGGCGCTCATGCTGTACATGGAGATGGCCTTGACCGTGGCGGACACGCACTGGTCCGCCAGGGACCAGCTGAGCACCAGCCGCATGGCGCTCTGCACCTCGAAGCGCGTGCAGCGGCAGTGCATGACGCTGAGCCGCTGCGCCTCGCGGGAGACGCGGATGAGGGCCCGGCGGAGGAGAGCCGACAGCCGCCGCGCGGCCTCCGGGGAGAAGGCCGCCGCGTGGCCGCCTTTGACGCCCCATCCGCCGGCCACTTTGCGCAGTATCCTGGCCACCTCCTCGTCCATCCAGGGGAACTCCTCCAACTCGGGCAGGCGGTGGCACTTTGGAGAAGATGTCCTCCGGGTCCTCCGGAGGACCGTGTTGACCGTGTCCCAGCTGTTGTTCCTGCTGTTCATGGAGCCGGAGTAGTACCACCAGTTGCCCCGGTGAGGGGCGGTCATGAAGCCCTGGAAGTTGAACTTGGAGGAGGACAAGCTGAGGGATTTGCAGGAGTCCCCCGCTCCATAGCCAGAGTCCAGCTCCAGTTCCTCCAGGGTCTTCATGTGGAAATTGCTCAAACCGGCCATAACTGTGAAAGTATTTCTCCAGGTGGGGGGGGGGGGGGGTGTTGGAGGAAGCGGGTTACCTGAAGTAAGTCAAGCAGCAGCCGAAACTCCCCGCGGAGCTGGACGAACTGGTTACGCAGCGGGACACTCGGCAGACATGCTGCGAAGCAGAGTTCAGACAAAAAGATATTTCGAGCAAAATGTCTCTTTCAAAAAACACCGTATAGTGTCGTTGTCGGAGGGAATTAGAGCGGCACCCGTCTCACCTGTGCACGCGGACAGCGCAGGGATTTAACCAAACTTTCTTCCGCAAGTCCGTTAAAACACGATTACGTGTCGCCTCGTTCTGTGACGACCGGAGCTCGTGAGTTAAAAAAAAATGTGTGTGTCCCTCTTCCCTCCTTTTTTTCAGCCGCTCAGCAAACATATAAAAAGCTTTTAGTTTCTGTAGGCAAAGGTTGAAAAGCCCGAGACTACCGCTCCTCTCTCCCGTCCCGGGTGCTCGGTCAGAACAGCGTCCCGCCGGAGACGCTCGGTTACAGATGTGAGTGGGGGCGGGGCCTGTGCTGAATGACAACGCGGAAGCAGCCGGCGCACCAATCAAGAGGGGGCCGACTTCTGCAGGCAGCCAATCAATACCCGATCTAAATCTTTCCTCAATTTGGGGGACTTAAGTAAACGTTGTTTGGCTTGAGAACAAGAGTCACACAAATTCCCTCAACAGACGTGCCTGTAGGCGCTTGACATGACACGACACATTAAATCCACATTAGTTATGATATGGAGGGATGGATATGGACATGGATTTGTCTGGTTGGTTAGCACACCGTACAGTCTCATGTTAACTCTTGGAGACGTGGCCTGCTGCCTGCACCTGAGGGTAATCTCCCACCTGCAGTATAAAACAGAAATGAAATCCTTAAAGTCTGTTGCAATAACGTAAGGGGTGGAGTAGTGTTGACTTATAGATTATTTTTGGTTTAAAGGAACTCAACTAAGAAACAATTCGTTTTGGCTCACATGCTTTGTACCCAGTCCTTTACTTTGTGTTCACTCAGTACCAATTTGGCAGAAGTAAGGACCTAAAAGTGTCAGACTCTCGCTTTTAAAAACAAACCAAGAGCCAAACCTCTTACGAAACTTACGTTTTCAACCCTGTTTGCTGTTTCTGGTAAGCTGCCGTAACACGCTTGAGAGGAAAATAAAGCAAACGTGTTGAAAAAGTACGATGACTCCCTGCATGTCATCACTCCACACTCGCACAGACAGGTAGGGCGTGCCTCCACTGGGACAGAGTCCAACATTATTCCATAATCAGTTTACAGCCCCAACCTGCATGCCAGTGAGACTGCAACACATTGTGAAAGTAACTGTAATTCATGTTTTCTTGAACATACACAGACCCCCGATGTTAGACGACATGGTGCATGTTCTTGGAAAAAGAGATCTACATCGTAGACCATATGAATCACTCAGTCAGGGAAACCGAGTAGGGAGTCAACCTTTCATTCCAGTTAGTCAAAAGCTTTTCTAAATGAGATCAGGGGGTGTCAACAACTAAGTCTGCAGATAATTCCATTTGATGCAGAAAACATTGGAGCTCTGCTGGAGTTCAACATATTAAGTTACACAATGTTGGATTTTCTCTCCGCATTGGTCTCAAAACAAGATGAATGTGATATTACATCAATGTGACTCGTAACTGGATGATGTCAGCCGCAGAGGAACAACAGTGAGGGTCGCAGAATGTTTTGGAAACAATGTTATGTTAACTTTGCATTTGCAGCTAGTGATAAAAGTCTACCAGGGTCCGTTTAAATGTCAGCAACATGTTTTTATCCTGACCCAGAATTTACTTTCATTCATAGTTTAGAAAAATATCAAATAGTTGTACTGACAGGTCAGAGTATTTGAGCCACATTCAATTATTTAAAGATGTGAATTTTTTATATATCGTTTTGAAACCCATTGAGTTTTGAACCCAATTGCTGAGAAAAAGAAATCCCAGGAATAAAATGGTCTTCCCATATTTGGTTAGAAATGTTTGCATCACAGAAATAACCACTTTGTTTGCGAGAGTGTAGGAGGGGGATTTTCCACATTAGCAATATTCATCTTGTCTATCAAAATATTTATGTACTTTAATAGTTTTTATGTGTTTAACCATGCAACCGCTGTTGGTCTACAGGTATGCGCTGTATGTTTATAAGTGGAGCACCACCATGTGGTCAGATAAGGCATAGAGCTGTTTGAGGTGAGATCTTTCTCAAATGTAGAATATTAATAATAGAACAGAGAAAAAAATACACCTGAAAAATTACCTGGACGTAAGCATAAAATTTTATTTGCAAAAAACCCCAACAAATTAAAATAAAAATTACAATACATTCTTAAAACCTTTTCTCTACAAAACAATTTCACAGAAATTACCTTGGAATGTATATTCCTATTTTCCATGTTATGTTATGTTTCATAAATATATGTACACATATGTATATTTAATATATACATATACATATACATACATATATATACATATACATACATATATATATATATATACATATATATTTAATGTGATTCTTTAAATAGTCCCATGTCAATGTTAAATGACGTACAGTAGACTCTTCCTGTAGAGGCAAAGAAAGGGTCTTGGAGGGCATTTTGACAATCATATAGTCAACAACAGATCATTAACTTTCCTCCATATGTGTGTCCAGCCTTGAGCCCTCAAGCCACTCTCCATCAATAGAAGTACCGTGTTGCATAAACAGAGGCATTAGGGGCCCGGCCTCCGGCCAAAACGAATGGGAGCAGGTGGGGTCCCGCTGAAGTGCAGCTGCCAGTGAGTCTCCATCACACCTCCGGATTTCACTCAGTAGTCAAGTACCATGTCCGCATATCTCACCAAAAGGGCAACTGGCTTGATAGACCCCTCCTTCCTGCTTCTAAGGTAATTCCACAAAAACACACCGACGCGTCTTTGTAATCCGCTGAAGAGAACCGTGTTTCCTTCTTTTAGAGTTTATCTGAATTTACAATGACATTACAGCCTGCTAATAAATAACCTCAATGATTCCCGTCTGTCGCTGCCCTCTTCTGTCATTAAAGTAGTTTAAAAACTGCCTGCAGCCAAACCCTGATAAAGGCACACATTTGTGAAACCACCATGCCTTGCCACCTTGTGTCCCAACACATGAACCGATCCCGCTTCTGTTTGAGCTTCATACAAGCTTTAAAGCAGAGTAAATGTAAATGTTTCTCCGTAGCTAAGCATCCCCCGTCTCTGTGCTATTTCTTTAACATGAGAAAAAGATAGCGTGCGTGACAATGTGAAATGTAATGCCAAAAGCTGCCGCTGCTGTTCTCCTAATAAAGTTTTATGTTCCAGTGACAATGAGGTTAAACACGTGGAGGGAATGAAGGATTCTGTCAGTAGAGTTGAAATAGGTAAACCGTTTACAAATTCAGTGTTTTAGAACAGGAAATAGCACCCCAAATGTTAGTGCGTCCAGACTCAGTGAGGACAAATACCGAAATAATAATAGCAGAAAATGATATCAATTATTAACGAAGTTAACGAAACAAAATTGAATCAATTGTATCCGATAGCTAGGTGTAGAACATAAAACGCAAATACACAAATTTGCATGACATTGAAACAGAAAGAGGGCTGCAATGAGTTGTAGATAAAAAAAAGAATACGGAGGGATAAAGGGACAGAAATAGATATAAAGATGACAAATCTGTCATCATCCTTTTGAGGGGCTTTTCTGATCCACAACTTTTCTTTGTCAATATCAGGAGAATGCAGCACCTTGGTCATAATTCTATCCAACAGGTAGAGGTTGATGTATTTAGAAACTATTTTACCAAAGACACAGTTCGTCTACGACGGAAACCTACTCCACCGCGTCCGGATGTATTTGAGTAACACGTCGACACACATTCTATTGGGCCCTCACGAGAGAGCGTGTTAGAAAAAAAGATCTTAGGTTGCCATCACATCTCCTGGTTAGAAAAAAGGTGCTTTCTGTCATCTTAAGCACACGCAAGCGGCGACACACTCACATACAACTATATGTATGTATATATATATATATATATACACACACACAGCTATTTTCCAGTCTGTCTGAAAACATTGCACCAAAAAAAGGACAGAGAGAAGCAGAAGAACAATACTTCTCTCTGTACAGTAGTTCAGTCAGTGAGGCTGAAGTGACGACTCAGGTCGATCTGCGTAAACGGCCGGCTTTTAAAGTTCAGATTTAGACTCCTTGTTTCCTCGTGGGTTTACAAGTTTACAAGAGGAGCTGATGGAGAAGCAAAGGCATCCCTGAAAGGAGTTCAGGCAGTGAGCGAGCTCCTACGGGTCCCTCGCTCTCTCACACGTTGTGGATCTGCAGGTAGATTCAGAATCCTCACGCCAGAAGGGGGCGCTATCCCTTCGGAGTTTTCTTATTCTGCGCATTCCACATGCCCCGTTTGGAGTGGTAGTAGTGGAAGAAGTTCCTCAAACGCAGTCTCTCTACCTCTAAACCGTTCTGCAGTACCCTGGAGGGGGGCGGGAGGGAAGAACGACGCGTTAAAACGTGGTTATTTCAACAAGACAGCATATAACTTTAACTTAATTGGTTTAACTTTAATTGAGTCTGATAAAAACAGTATCAATTTAACCGACATTTGGCTGCTTTTATGCCCAAATTCAGCATATAACTGCACCAACAATTAGTAGCAGCAGACATTCCTGACTGAGGGCTTGCAATATTCCTCGTGCTGATATTCCTGCCCTATCTACATCTAATATTTTGTCCCAACAGTAATATGCAGCCTGACACAATCTGGTACAATACAATGTCGACTGTTGAAATACCAGTATTCAGTGCAGGCCTATTGTGTTGGCTTGTCGCTGGGTTACCTGTCCAGCAGCTCCCAGTCCTCTCCACCCCAGCGGTCTTTGAATTCCTCCGTGTTCATTCCTCCAATCTTCTCAAAATCAGACTTGTAGATTCCAAACAGGCCAAAGCCGTTCACCTCCCAGTAACCTGTGAAGAGAACAGAACGTTCTTTAATAGGAAACACTGGTCCCGGTGCGCGCTGTTGTAAGTAACGTTTCTCCGGCGACAGCGCGGTCTGAAACTAGGGAATGACTCGACGCGTGAAACTACAAAAAACTTGAATATTCCTGGATGAGCGCTGACGTTTTGCCTACGTGCGTGTGCAGTGTTTGTGCGCGCGTGTTACCATCAGGCTCCTGTGGTGAGCTGCCGCAGCCGAGTCTCATGACGATGGGAGCGAAAGCGAGGCGTCCCTCCACGCAGTGCTTCCTGATGCTCTCCAAGATGTTGAGAGGGAAGTGGATGTGCAGATCACACAGGAACACAATGCTGTGACTATCCTGCAAAGGGAAAAAACACACATGCACACAAACATTTGTTATATGGAAACACTCAGAATCTTACATTTTAGTGTGTGTGGATTAGTCTGTGTGCGTTTATATTGGCCCAATGGATTTTTCAGGATGAAAGAAAGTGTGGGCTCAGTATCCGTTGCTTGGCTTCCCTTCCAGAACCTGAAGGTCCTTTCAGGCGTGAGTGACGGCCGCCCGTCATCCCGCCAAACGGCAGCCCGACACTTGACTGACGGATCAACGTCTGTCCATATTTCCACTCGCTTCACACCCCTGGGTGGGCGAGTGTGCATGCGGGCGACAGGTTGACAGCCGGAAAGCGGCGCACGGGCAGAGGAACGCACACGGATGTGACAGAGATGGCCCACACGTGACTGGGGAAAAGCAGCTAACCGTTCAAGCCGTTCCCTGTCATGCACAGCGGGGCGGGACGGGGACGGGGAGAGGGGGGGGGGAAGAGGGGCGAGATCCGTGACAGACTGGTCAAGCGGCTTTGTGTTAATTATGCATGCATGTTCTTCCTGTCCCGTCCATCAGTAGAGGTCACGCGGGTCAGCGTGAGTGGCTGACCTTCGGTGAGTGTGTTCTTCCTGTCGGCTTGCATATTGTTTATCTTGTGTCTGTGTGTGTTGCGCAAACCTCAATGGTGTCCACTCCGATCTGCAGTCCTGCTGAGCGCTCAAAGTTCCCTTCTCTCCTTAGATACTCGTATCTGTCAAACCAAAAACACACATATACATATGTGTATTAATACACACTATATGGTCCAAAATATTTCAAAATACATTTTAGAGCCCATACAGGCTTATCGTGTCTCACACACACACATACACACACCTTGGTACAGTGCTCTCTCTTAGTGCCTGCTCCACGTCCATGTCTTCACTCTCAAAGTCGACAATTATGATGTTGAAATTGTCATCCTTTGTCTGGTGATGAAGGTTCTCCATGTCAGAGATGAACTGTTGTACCCAGCGAGCCTGGTTTTTCACTGAAGGACAGAAGGAACATAAGGGATGGACGGCAATTAAGACAGATCACAGAGAAATGATTATTTCCCCTTCGTTCATTTTTTGTTTTATTTTAATTGTGGTTATTTCAAAAGTTTCAAAAGTGAACAAAAGTGGACTTACCGGGCACCACAAAGTGCACCATGACATCTTTCCTCCACTGCAGCATGACCGGCTGGCAGAGGAGAGGCTTGGCATAGGCGGTGCTCCAGGCGGTCGCCGCGGGCCGTACCAGCGACCTGGCGGAGGGCGGGGGCGGCGGCGTGTCGAGGCTGGACGTGGCGGCCGACGGGGCCGGAGCCGGCGCCGAGGCCGGAGCAAAGTCGGTGTTCTCGAGACTCTCCTCGCCTTGCCTGCCGCGATGCAGCAGCAGGTAAATGTACTCCGACAGACGCACCACGCTGCGGCCTCTCTCCATCAGCTCCAGCTCCACGAGGTAGCGGTTCCCTCTCGCCGAGTCGCGCCGCTTCTCAACGTTGACTATTCGCAGCAGGGTGTAGATTCTGCGGCAAAGACGGAGGGGTAGGGGGAAATTAAAAGGGAAGAAAATGAAAACAGCGCCAGGCTGCTTTTTTTTCCTTTTTTTTTTTTTACAAATGACATCAATGTCTGCGAGCGCCGCTGAAGGAAATGGTAATCGGCACAGAGGGGACGACTAACATGAAGTCAAAGCACCGCGACACGACCAATGTGGCTTCCTTGTTGGGATAACAAGCCACGGGGGAAACATAAACAGCCTTTCGGCGTCACATCATTCCCACTGCCTCCCCTTCATCCTCACCCTCCATTGCGCTCGTTGAGCTTCTCCATGTACTGCGCCAGCACGTCCACCACCTCGCTCTCCGCCAGCTGGAGGTTGCCCGACACGTTGCAGCGCAGGTCATTCCAGTCGGAGCGCAGCAGCTCAAAGTCCATGGGATTGACCGAGAAGGTCCTCTGCCAGTTGATGCTCTCCTCGGCCCAACCCGGCCGAGCCTCCACCTCCTCGTAGCTGTATTCCGACATCTCGCCCTCCTCGGGTTCTGGTTCTGGTTCCGGCTCGGGGTCAGGCTCGGGATTAGAGCGGCTTGTGTCCGGGTTGGCGAGTTCTGGCGGGTTGGCGTCCGGTAACGGCTGCTGATGGGACTCTGTGATTTCGGATGTCCTGAGGTAAGAGGTGACCCGTGTTTGACCTAGGAGTGTGTTTTCTGTGGCGTTTACTGGAGGGGGCTCTTGGTGATGGGACGGAGGGGTTTCACCTTTACTAGCAACATCAGCCGCGGCCGTAACCTTTAAGCCCCGGCGCTCCCCTTTCCTCTTGCTATTCTCCGGTAGCTTTGCTCCTGCTGCCCTGCTGTCAGACTTGTGTGGACCTTCATCCTGCATGTTGATGCTTCCATTGTGGGTTAATGTCTTGCCCTCTTTTGGGGGGGTGTTGGGCCAATGCCGAGGGGCACTAACAAGACTTCTACTTCTTGTTACGCGCCCTTGTTTGGACCCCAGGTTAACCAGCCTTGTGGTCTTGCCGGTTTGGTACAGAAAGACCCCCGGGAAGACCTCTCTAGGGTGGCGGGAAGCCCTCTCCTCCCTCCTCTCGCGTCGCTGCTCCCTCTCCCTGTCCTTCTCCCTCTCCTTGGCAGGTCGAGGCCTGGTGATGTAGATCTTGTTCTCCTCCCTCTTCTCCTTGTTTCCGGCCAGCCTCTTGTTGTCATGGCGGTTGTTGCTGTGGGCGGAGTTGCTGAGGATCTGCTTGGCTCGGCTGGCAAGGGCAGAAAGGGAGGACTTTTGGGGGAAGAGGAGCGAGGACTTGCTCAGTTTGGCCAGTGTTTCAGGTCCTTTCTCTCCTCCGGTTGCCCCTCCTTTCCTGCCAGGGCTCAACTCCGCAGGACCGGTGCGGATCCAGGTCAGGGAGCGGCCGCGGACCACACCGTCCTTGTCGGGCTGGAGCAGCCCGGCAGGGTTCTCTTCAAGCCCCTTCCCGGCGTCCTGTCCCGTGTTTGTGCGATCTCTCCCCCAGTCTCTATCCACATCCCTTCCCGCCTGCGCATCTCTGTGAGGAAAATGTCTCTTTTCTCTTCTGTGTGTGATGCTGTTAACTGCTCCCTCCTCCTCTTCATCTGGGTCCACCTCCTCTTCTCGCCCCTCTCTAGCAGCCGGCGTTGGCGCAGGCTTCGAGTGCTGATGGGAGGGGTAGGAGGTGCGGCTGGTCTGGCTGGGATGAGAGGGCTTCTTGGCCGACTGTGTGCCAACAATCTCTTCCTCGTCCTCTACATCTACCATCTCCTCTTCGTCTAAGAAATCTGTAGATATTAACACACGGTTGAAACAGAGTGTGTGTGTGTGTGTATTGTACAGTGTGTAAAGTGTGTGTTTGGTCTGTTAGTTTACCATCTGGATTTGGGAAGAAGAAGGGCCTGTCATCTTCCTCCTCATCCATCTTCATGTATTTGTAGAACCCAAACCTGGCAGACACAAGAGGAGGCAACACGCACCCGTTTACACGCACAAGCCCTCGCATTGAAAGGAGGTTGACGTTTCAATGTGCCTTTTCAGCATAATAGACTTAATCAAGTTGGTGAGAGGTCGAATGAATCAATGCCATCGAATTCACCGACACTTCAATGTGCACAATGTATGCAAACCAGAGACAAATGATCCGTTTTCTCTGCATGAGATGAAAGCAATAATGTCCTTACTTCTCCAAATAGATAGGGGACTCTCTGTAGAAACACTTGTTCTCTCGCTCCATGTGGGTGAGACGTGTGAAGTCATTGGGGTAGACGAAGGACAGATAGACCTGAAGAAAAATAGAAAATTCAATAACATCAGAAAATACTTGTAAGGCGATTCATTCTTATTAATGAAGTACTCTATAAGGATCATATTAATACCAGGATTGAATCAAATCAGCCTCTTGCACTTTGTTGGGCTTTAGGTTTGATACAATGATTCCTGTCAAATCTATAAAGGGATTTGCTTTGTTGTGTGGCTCTAATTTCCACTTCATCTCTGCAGCCACTGCAGTAACACCTGTTGTCCTGAAGGGGGGAGCAGCACTCTGCTCCCTCAATATGGTGAAATGACCAAACCAGCATTGGCCCAGCTTCTCTGCCCTTTCCTTCTCTTGCCCGTTGACCTGAATATTATGCAAAGTCTGCAGGGGGATACTTTTTAAGCAAGGTAAAATACTACTATCATGAGAGTCACGTTAATTCAGATCAGCCCGTAGGTCAAAATTTAGAACTCACTCACACACAAGCAAGCAAGCAAGCAATTTGACGTTGCCAATGTGATGTGATTAATAGATGCGTATTATAGGTTTGGCTTGAATTATGGTTATTAAAAAGGTTGAGAAAGTATTGTAGAAGTCTAGTATTCCTTCATCATGGTGTGTATTTGCGTAGCGAAAATATTCACAGATTTATTTGCATTTTTAAAATAATGATGTTCTAAAATGTGTGTGAAAGAGGCAGTGTTGAAATGACAGCAGGGCCTTTTCAGGTCAAAAGGGCTGGTGACTTACAAATTGCAGACCCTGGTATCGGGCGATGGGAAAATCTTTGACGACGTATGTTGGGGAGTAGAGGCATGCCGGCAGAACATTTTCCAGTCGGGAGCGGTCGATCATTGGAGCTGTGGAGATGGGAGGAGGAGAGAAGTGGAGTTAAATATTTGAGATCAAACTGGGTGGGATTCTGCTTTCCAAAAAACTTGAGTCAAAAAGGTGGGAAATGAAAAAAAATAGGAAGAAAACACACACAAAAGGAACACAGCGAAATGACAAAAGTCCTAATGCAGCTAAACCGACAGCCACGGGGGGCGGGGGGGGGGGGGGGGGGGGGGCTGTTTCCCACAACACCCCCTCGCGGGAGAGAAAAAATGCGGGGGGAAAAATCCGGGTGAAAAAAAAAAGGGGGGGGGGCAGCCTGTTGGATTTACTGCTGTAGAAGGTGTCCCTGGGGTCCGGCTTCAGCATGTCCGCGCCGTGCTGCGTGGCGCCGCCTCCCCCCCGCAGGCTCCGGGGCCGAGCCTCCGCGGGGAGGCGGCCGTGACTGGCCACGGTCTGGGGGATGTGGTCCACGCTGTTCATCTTCAGATCCGACTCGTCTGAAAAAGCACAGAGGTGATGTAGCGTCGGTAAAAGGCGAAGATCAGTTTTTTTGTGTTTCGATTTAATCCTGCACCCAACGTTTACGTTAGCGGCGGAAGGATAATAACACGAATCTCTATCGACCATGAAACGGCGAGGAACAGGAAAAAAGAAAAGACAGGTTTCCTCTTCTTTCTTTTTAAGGGAGGCAGCGGAGCCGAAGATGAGGTGAGGATCAGAAAGAAAGTTGGTGGGAAAGAAATAACAGAACAGAGTCATAAATATACCAATCGATAGCAGAGGAGGAGGGAGAGCACCTGTGATTAATGGCATGTCAGGCGCAAGGGCTGAAGGGAGGAGTGCTATATGATTAACGTGGCGGTCAGCGTCATTTTCCGGGTGGAGTTTGCCCATTTAATGTGTCTGTCTCGCAACGGAACACCGAGAAAGCCTCTTTTGTTTCTTCCAACAATAAGACATCTGCTGATCACACACCTGGTTTAACTGACGAGAAGCAAACAAAGAAGACCACGAAGCTCTCGCTCTCTTCTTCTGATTACCTTCTATCGTGTTACACGGGTGTAGTTGTGTTTCAACAAAAGAAACAATAGTGTTTTGTTTCCAGATGGTACGGGTATTGAAACTGCATCTGGCTACAACTCTGAATGACCTCATCGTTTGGAAAATGCATTTGAAACTTCTCTTAATAAATTTAAAGGGTACTTTATTTGCTGATGTTTGTTTGTTTGTTTGTTAATATATTTGTTGAAATTAGCTTTAAATTCCGAAAGTGATCAGATAATGAAATTGTTAAAACGGTTTCTCTGTGTCAAACAGGAAGGAAAAAAAAAATATATTGTACCATGACAAAATGTAACCCAGTATAATGGCGAGCGTCACATCCAGGGAGGGGTCGTGATGGATGGGCGGAGGGAGACAGATGAGGACACGTTAATGTTTAAATCCAGCAAGTGACCTCATAAACTGTACAAGGCCTCCTTCTTGTCACACGGCCCACACGGCAACCTGCAGACAACATCTCCCTCTGAGCAAGCTGGCATTTTCCCTCGTTAACGACGCCGAACCCCTGACACAAATCCCACAGATATTCTTGGAGTTCTAGAGGTTAGACTAGGAGCTCGTGCTCTCATCTCTGCTTTGACTGGAACCTAAAGAGAAAAATAAAGATTCTAATTGTTCTAATTCTAATTGATTCTAATCTTCTCTTCGTGTTGTACTCCCGACGGCACAATCCCCAACTAAATGTGATACAAGAGAAAATTAGGATTTTCAATCAGCATCGAGTTTTAAAGATTAACACATCTGGATTCAAAAGGCTAGTTCTGTGACAAACTACTGACTTTCTATTCTGTGTCACTGAGCAAAAGGAATAACACGATCATCATAACACGAGTGCTATGAGTATCTTGGCAGTGAACCACACAATTTTAGAAAAATAATCATGGAATGTATTTCATGTGGAGGACAAGGAGCTTTTCATGCCGCACATCGGGAGGAGAGTCCTGACCTGTGTACAGGGAGATGTAGGCCGAGTCGATCACTTCATACTTCAGACCAGGCAGGAACGGACGCCACTGTGTGTGAAGGCAGAGAGGGGAAAAATATATATATTTTTAAATACACGTCAACGCACGTGGGAAGTATAAAGGTGAGCAGAACTCATCCGTCATCGTTATTGCTCGCTAAACGGTGACAGCGCTCTGTGTTATGGAGCTTAGCGGCATCGCGGGATTGATCTGATGCCGTGTTTCCGTGTGAACACGCTTAGGCCGAGAGAGGGAGAAAGGAAGAGTGGCACGTGAGCAGACAATACAAAACACAAAAAAGTGAGGACCCTCAAGGAGAAAAGAAAACTATTAAAAAAAAACAGACAGTGAGCAGAGTGAGAACAGAGCCGTGACAAGTAGGTGTGAAGAGGAAGTTCTAGTAATGACCCGAAAACAGAGAGAAGCGTGGGGGAGGAATAAGGAGAGAGAGAGAGAGAGAGAGGCAACAATTTGTTTAAATAGATTTCACAATTACTACGTCACTTCTGGTTACCAAGGATATAATGGCAGGAGACAGGTCATTTTCCGGCCCTCGGGTTGAGAATACTAATATAAGCATCCTCCTTAGGCCCATGCAAATACCTCCATGTGTGTATGTAACACACACACACAGAGTTAAATTTCTCCTGTATATCTGCTACTGCTCCACACCTGACAGGTGCAGACAGAAGCACACGTACCCTAACAAGTGCACATAGCGAAGAACGACACACGAGGACACATGCTGGGTGCCAGCAGGGAGCAGCTCAACGGGCCAGCAGAGGCTTTCTGCACGGTGGAGTTATTTTGGGGCGACTGTCTTCAAGGTCGAGGCAGACTGCTGTCAAAGCCCGACTCAACACACAGCGAACGGAGAGGAGACCAAGGTTTGGTTTCACTCGACAAAACTGCTCAACAATCTCAAATTGGACTTTAATTTAAACAAGTTCATTCTTGAAATTGAAAGCAGGGGTTTGAATAAAGAAAAACATTCCTCTTTTGTTTTTTTTCTGGTGTCACCCACACGTCTTATTACAACAGCTGATTGGTTGGCTGCTTTGATGCACAATTAAAAATACATGCAGGAAGCGGTCCTAGTTTGACAGTGGGCTGCTTCAGCTGCACGCAGGGAGAGGGTTAATAAAAGGGTCCATGCTTTTGTCAATAAAGCCAGACACTCTGGCTCCGTCACATCGGCCTCGAGAGCACTCGAGATGCTGCAAGTGGACCCGCTTGGTCTAATTTAAAGTTGTGCAGCATTTCCCTGTTCATTGTCGGGCCGCATAAATTCTCTGATACATTCCTCCAAGAGAAGTATTGATCTCGAGCGCACGTGCATCTTCTGTGTGCTCATACAAAAAGCATTCATCTATGTGTGTGTTTGCAATTGCACGGCTATCTTTGTGCGTGTGAGCTATTGTGGGTACCCTGTGTGAAATAGCGTCGACAGGGAGCAGCAGGAAGAAGCAGAGGCCTGCGAGCTGGCCACATAAGTTCAACGGAGAGGATAGAAAATCAATACCTGAGGGGAAATGGTAAAAAGTGGAAAAAAAGAACAATCGCAACAGGCAGCCGGAAGGGGAGTTTCATCATGTTTCTCCATTCCAGGACCACCTGGTGACATATGAGCTTTGGGTGTTGTTTTTCCGAACAAAGAAGGTGTTGCTCCAACTTACAAAAAGAGCGCGTTGGTTTGGTACATAATAAACAGAGCTGCACGCACACACTGACAAGTTGAAACTATCCCACATTGCATTCTAAGGATTTCAGGTAGAATAAGCTCAAATTAAATCAAACGCTTCCTGGTAGCAAAGCATTTATCTGAGGTAAGTAGTCTAACTAAATGTACTACTAAATGTAGTTATTAAGGCTAATGCACCACATAAGTGCTCTAAATATCGAGGAATAAAACCTGAAGTTCCAACTATGTAACATTAAAGGTGATTTGACAAGACTTAAAAGTAAACACAATTTACTCTTCAAAAGTTGATCGTGCCCAGCATTGATGATTGCGTGACCTTGGTTAAGTGAAAATATGTATTTGTGAAAAAAGATTTATTTCCAGTAGGAGTGAATAGACACAGAAGAGAGAGAGAGAGAGAGAGAGAGTTCTCAGAGTTGTGGTTAAGTTGAAAGGAAAGGGGGGAATAAAACAGCTTTGATTGTTGAGGTGACTTAATTGAGAGCGCCACGTTGCCAGCAGACCAATAAATCCTTTTCTGTATAAGAAATATAAAGCGACCAAGCTCACGCCGACCACATTTGAATGTTTGTCTCTCTGTCGCCTCTGGTTTGGTTAAAACGATGCACCTTTTATTCTGGTGCACAGAATGTCACTGCAGCAGCGATTTGTGTGATGAGCAACCAGCAGCTGTCAGACTCGTGTGAGATGTGTTCTGTGTGATCTGACTCATAGCCGCTGTCATGGTAACAAATATTATGAATAATACAAGCAATACTTCCACATCGGTGACAAAATGCCCGTTCGCTGTTTGACAAAGATTCAGATGAGAAGATCGACTCTGCTCTGGTGCTTGTTATGTAAATATGAAGCTACCTGCAGCAGCCGCTTAGCTTAGCTTAGCATCAAGGCTCAGCGGCGGATAAGTCTCTATGAATGTTATGTGGAACTCGACATGTCTGAAATATGTTTTGTAGTATTGGATCATCTGAAACTGACCTTCTATTGTGTTATTTCACTCAGAGAAAAACAAAGCTGAGACATTTGACGTTTGTGAAAAATGGAAAACCTGAGGGACTTCTGGCAGATTGAGCTCACTCGACAACACAACACAAACTGTGCTGTCGGAATAACTGCAGTCTTTTTGGGGCCTGTAGCTAGCGCCAGCCAAACTATGTGGAAAAGTAAAACATTTTTCCATACATGCTTATATTTTGACAACTCAACTCATGTGTTTATGTCTTTTAATAAATGAAAGGGTTTTTGTTTCTTTTCTCAACAATAGGGGAACAATACGTGAGATGACAATGACGAGAAAAAGCTCCATCTTCTCACACCATGCAAGAAAAGTTATGACAGCTTCGGTGGGGAGAGAGAGAGAGAGAGAGAGAGAGAGAGAAACAAAGTTTGAGTTTAAACGTCGGCGGTAACGGAACGCGTGTGGCGCCGGCCGCGTGACGGCAGCTTTAGAGAGAGACAGCGTCAAGGAGACGCTCCTGACAGCTCGTCCCAGCAGACACGTCCCCCGGAGCACCGAAGACACAGAAGACTGCAGCCGTTGGATGCTCTTCTGATACGGTGGTGGAAGCTGAATGCAATGAAAGTCGACAAGGACGCAGAGAGTGAAGAAGAAGAGACGAAAAAAAGGGGGGACGGAAACAAAAACTACAACGACTAGAAGCTGGTGACTGATTATGCTCTTATTCCAATTGACAGCTAAGCAGCGGCAAACACTTATATGACGCTCTATTCGCTGTCACGCTGTGACAACGCCGGCTGGTTTTTTTTCCCCGTGTCACATCCTGTCTCGCCCCGGGGACAAAAGGACCAACATTCAAAGAGAGGGGAGGTGGTGGATACGGTGAAGGGCTGTTTCTACATTGAATTATACGTTAGCCGTAGTCTCTCAAACGTTTCAGAAAGACGAATGAGGCAAAATGTCGACGCAGTGCGACGCGTCTACGACGACGCCAGTTAGGGACGCTAAACACTCTCACTCCATTCAACTAAAAAAAAAAATCCATTCAACTTCTATGACGTGAAAAATGTCCTTGCGCATCTCTCAGGATCCCACTTGTTTGCTCCGCGGCCTCATATTGCTTACTGGAAATGAGAATAAAGGAATATATGTCAAAAATAGCTTTGACAATACTTCACTAAGGCAGCAGAAACCATCTGATGGGAAAATACAATCGGACACATTCGACCTGATATACGCAGAACAATGTACTCCAGAGACTGTAAGCAGCTGGAAGCTAATATGAGTAGGACACAATGAGAAAGGCTAACGTGACACTAAGCAGCTTTATTTTAAAATGTAAAAACATTAACATTAAGAGCACGAAAAGTTGAATTTGAGGAGCGCCTAAGAAAAGCAAACAAAGGAGGAGAGATACGAGCATCAGCATTGGCTCTGAATCCACGTTACGTTTTTATACAAGGGAAATAACACGAATCAGAAGATTATTAAGTTAAATGATGAGCTCTCACCATTGAGAGTAAATGTCCACGTCTTGCACTTTATTATCCTCGTAATGAGAGAGAGCCTGAATGATCACATTAATCATCAGAGTCGCATTGACTGCCACTGATGCTGCTCAGTCTGAGATCTTAACATACGGTAATGTTTGGGAAGGGAAATACAAATGGCTGCATGTTAAAGATACCGTACTAAAAGCTATTAGAAAAAGCCGGAGCGGAAAACATGTACATGTAGTGAAAAACTGGGGCGAAAAATACGACCCAATGCTGAACTACTTGCTTCTCTTCCTTCTCCGCGCCGCCTCCCAATCGCACCGTTTAACCGCAAACTCTCTCCTTCATTCCGTCTCAAGACTGAGCAAGAAACCTTTTCCCTTTCGGCAAGCGAAAAGGTCCCGCGTGTCACTGACAGGGATCCAGGTGACATTTAGGAATCTATTCAGTGCGGTGCCTACCGATTCCTCCGTACTACTTACTAATTCTCTTCCCGTCTCTAATGCCGTTTACCTTCCACCTTCCTGAAGCCATTCACGCAAATCAGAGAGAACAAGGGTTCTCTCGCTTATTCTCTTGTCGAAAGGTAAAGTCTTGACTGCGCTTGTGCGTTATCCGATATTTACAGCGGCTTGTTTCTTTATAACGAGCGCTGCTAAACAAGTACCTTCCCAGGGGAACAGCTCACCTTTGACCGCGCAATCAGAGCCCGGTACAGAACACCGGAGAAAGAGCCGTGAATCCACACTATCTCCTGTTTAACAAATGAGATCCTGGGCTGCTGCGGATTTATGTGAGCCCTGGGCTTATGCTGTTGTGGGCCGGTCACGGTAAATCTGCTATTTTTGTCAAGGTGTGAAATGTATTCCGCTGCTAAATCACACACAGGGGACTCGCTGAGACAGCGGCGCGCGCGCACACACACACACACACACGCGCGCGCCCACTATCGTGATTTTGCTGCCTGACGTTTATTTGCTTCATTAAAATCGTTTCTACTGGTATAAACCCACTTTGAGGGCCTTGTGAGTAGTTGTCTGAGGAGGGGGGGGGGGGGGGCGGGGTCACAGGGCCACGTGACCTTGAATCACTGGTAGACTCAATCACATGAACACTTTTCTGGATGGTTTGAACGAGAGACATGACAGAGAACTGGAGTACTTCACACAAAGTGCACATAGTTTCAATGCTATGATCTAAGCTCCACTGCAGCATTTTCTACCTTTAATCCATTTCTGAATTGCCGTGTCAACACTGAGGAACAAGACGGAGACACTCTCTGCTCCACACATATTGTATATATTGGTATATACTGTATATATATATATATATATATATATATATATATATATATATATATATATTGGAATATATATATATATATATATATATATATATATATATATATATTGGAATATATATATATATATATATATATATATATATATTTTATACGTGTGTCATTAGTGTTATTTTGTTTTTGTTGCTGGAAACAGGAGACCACTGAAAGTAAATCATTCATATACATGATTTACTTTCAGGCAGGACATGAACAGTGGTCTGTATTTCTCCAGCAACAAAATAACACTAATGACACTGACATTACATCATTTAGTGAAAAGTGGCCTATTCCACCACGGAGTCCGTCTTCTACAGATTCGTCTCAGTAAAGTTTAATCTGTTTGCCGCTGGGATACGGCGGTCCCAGGCTGTCATTTATTAGTCACACATGCACATCAGCAGATGCATATTCATAACACATCCACACCGACGGCCCGCGGTATCCCATAGCAACGGGATAATACTTCGTAGACCAGACAGTTGGTTTCATGCAGCCGCTGTGAGAACATGGATTATTGGAAGTTCTCCGCTGACTTTGGCCAAATTCACCGGACTGGAGGCCCACGTGTCAACATCTGGATCCCTGCCTACCTGGCCCTATCTCACACACACACACACACACACACACACACACACACACACACACACACACACACACACACACACACACACACACACACACACACACACACACACACACCCATCACCCCTGTCTACTCCACTCTAAAAAATCTGAGAAACGAGAGAAACACAGAAAAGAGCACAGCAGCAGCACTGGACACAGTGATAAAGGTTGAGAGTGGCTTGAGGAAACACTGTTTAAGAAAAATTAATTAAAAAAAATGACAGGACAGTTTAGAACATAAAGAGCCAGGAAGACACTAACAAGAGCTAATAGGAATACAGGAGGAGAGCAGCCAGGGGCAAGTCACTCCGAGCGATAAAGATAGACTGAGAAGGCAGTGAAAAGCGTTAAACATCCCGGTGCAGAAATGACACAGAAGTTTTGTGAAAGAAGAGAACAACTCCAGCTCTTTTGATGATGATGATCGCCGTGATGGCAATAACCTGGGGCTTGTTAAAAGATTCATTCCACACACACACATACACACAACATCATCCCACCCCCTCAAAGTGCGCGCTCACACGAGGCATGTGGGCTCCCGAACTTCATCTGTAAATTAAGCACCACTCATCTTTGAGCCCGCCTGAGGTGCAGAACACCAACACTGAGAGAGAAATGGCGCAGTGAGAGAGTCGCGGCGAACGGGAGGGAAAACGAAAAGCAAGAGAAGGAGAACAAAAAGCACCGAGGAGGAGAAATCAATGAGCAGTGCAGTGGGAGAGCGAGATGGTGATGGAAGATCGACGACAGCGCGGCCATTCATGGCCGTTTTGATCAGACGCAGAGAAATGTGGAGCAAAGGAGGGCGAGGAGATCCGCTTCAAACTTCCTTCCTTCCTTCCCTGCATTCGTCAACACCCGCAATACGACTTAAGCACAGGTTAGAAAGTGTCCAATCCAATAACGACTGGGAGGGAAAAGACGTGAAGAAGAAGAGCAAAGTGCCCTCGAGGGATGAGAGGAGTCCACTTACCCCAACCTCCACGTGATCCGAGCCCTTGTCATCCTGCTTGTGAAGGATCTCGAAGTAGTATCGTCTGGATGAGATTAGGCTGAGGGGAGAAAGAGCTATTGTTAGATATTTGATGCTGATGGGGTGGAAAAAAAGGGGAAGGATCTTTCGTTCTTTCCACCTTAGGATCCAGTTATGAGTGGCGAGAAAACCCGAAGCGCAGGCGTGAACAGGTTGAGGTCTCTAAAAACTAAAAGCTATTACAGAGTTTAATGAGACCGCAGTGAAGGAAGGTAAACGGTTTGACTGTAACGGCACAGAATAGTCATAAAAACACATAGCAACTGGACCTGAGAATAGACAGGTTAATCAACCGAGAGTGTAAATCTGTGCTCCAGCCGAGCTGGCAGAAGAGATGGCCGTGAGCCAGGATATTATCTGCCTTCGGTCCTGAAGAAAACACTCTTTCTGAGGAGGTAAATCGATGCTCCACATAAATCGACATTTTACACTTAAACAAGCGCTAGTATTTTTCTGGATCCCCCCGCTTACACCGAGTAAAGATCCGATTTGGAGGTTTACTGCTCAAGTTATTCTCTGCACCGATGAAACACACACACACACACACACACACACACACACGAACGCACCAAGCGACAGTTTTATTATCAAAAACACGGCTCTGATAGGCCAGCGTGTGCTGGCGTACGGACGACACCCGAGCTCCACTCGTCACATCGTTAACCCTCCAAGCAGACTCACACATTTCAATACAAAGACATATCGGATAATGTTTTCTACACACACACACACACACACACACACACACTGTACAAATGCCCTTTCTTGTGTACCTTCAATGCATAGAAAAGCTATTCTTGGATGTATAAAATGATTTTGAATCATTAAGAATCTATTTCCGATAAACAAATCAAGATTATTTTAATGGAGTTTTAATACGACGTGTGGTGGCTTTGCTCTGTTTCGCTGGTTTCCTTTTCTCTCTCGTGTGACGGCCTGGTTTATCTCTCCAGTCTATCGGTCTCCGGACACAAACAAAAAGGCTCGTATTCTTTGATTGAGGCCGTGTTTTGAATTGCGAACAGCCCCCGATGAGATAAATCTACGACGCGACAGCAAACAAAAGGAACCTGCTGCACGAGGTTCTCCTTTTTCCTCGGAAAATTGTAGCATGGCTCACAAATTAAACAGATTCGACCTTTTGGTTTACAAAGCTGGCAAAAGGCGGAAGATTTAACAAGTTCCCAGAGTCCGTGGTGACATTTCATCCAGCCAGCATTCCAAAACGGTCACATTGGGAAGCCAGAGACAGCAGCGTTTTGTAGACACGTCTAAGCTTGATAAATGACCACTTGTATCACCCATAAAAGACCCGGCCTTTCCCAATAAAGGCCGACAAAAAAAAAAAAAACATACAGTCACAGTGCAGACCCGTTGGCAGTGTGTGTGTCTGCGTTTTTCCTCCCGATGTAGTTGACCGAGTTGAAAGGGAAGGACAAACGGTCGGAGGGGGCGGTCGCGCGCGTTGCTCAACGCACAAACGCCACCGTATCATCCGGCTGCCCAGCGTCCTGTAGCCACTAAATCATTGCAGGTGGTGGAGAGCAGTGACAGTGGGCTAAGGTCACTCTCATAAATAGGGAACGTCTCTCTGTGCAGCTGCTGGAACGGCACTCAGCGGAACCTAAGTGCCTCTCTCAGCTCCTGGCACCCAACGTGCCCTTTCTCCCGCCTTCAAACACAACAACAGCCGAGCCACGATTTGGTAAAAATATAATAAATAACCTACAAAACAGAGTCAAAAAGGGTCATTAGATCAGGTGAAATTTGAATTAACACAATTATTATGTGGGGGAAAAGAAAAAATGATCTGAACCAGAAAGCTGAGGGCAGCATTTAGTCTATTATGAAATATGCAGTCATTGATAACGTGGATATATGTATAAAAAGTGGTTCGCAAAATGTCGCCTTTATTGGAGAACTGAATCTCAATCTCACCATTCGAGCAAATTCTATTTTAAGTTGACGTGTCTTTGTACATCCTAAATTCAGAGGGATTACAGCCTCGGTTTATTGAGTTCCCGGCCCCGAGCAGACAACTGAGGATGGGTTTTAGGGATATTGCTACATTTCCTGACCCTTCATTAGTCGGTTTCAGCCCCTAATCTGACTCCATCTGGGGGATAATCTAATGTCAGAGCTGAGAGGAGGCTGTCTGCCGCCGCAGCGTTTCGGAGCCACAGACAAGGAGGACACTTAGATAAATAAACATTGTACAGATATACACAGAAAATGCATCCTCCACATTGTGTTGACCGTCGACCTTTGGAGAACTTCTATTCCCTCGCCACTTTCAGAAAGCCAAAAACGCACACGAGACCAAAAGCACCTGAACCCAAAGCGCACCTCAGCATCCTACAAAAACTATTTTTGTAAATGCACATCGGAAGACATCTTTATCATAATTTTAGTTTATTTCTGCAGGTGAGACATTTCTTAATTATTTGTCTGCAATGGCAAAAAGGACCTAAAATTAGGTCCTTTTTAGACTTAGCATGTTTTCTATTTCTCTTTTTTTGTAATTGGGCATGAATAAAATAGAAGAATTCTGCGGCAGATTAAAATAAGGAAACATTTAAAGATATGGTAACAGAGAAATGAGACGTGGAAGCAGATTCTTGAAGAAATAATAAAATTGAAATACCTTTCCTAAATCTCTTTTCAAAAAGTACGACACTAAACAGAAAGACTGGAGACAAAGAATGGAGCTGTTGCATGAGTGTCTATTGCCCCTTTTCCACCAACAAGAACCAGGTGCTGGTTCGGAGCCAGAGCTAGAGCCGGTTCGGAGTTGGTTCAACTGACGAGCCTCCAAAGAACCGGTTTGCTTTTCCACAGGCTAAAGAGCCAGCGCAGAGCCAAGTCCTACGTCACAGTTACGTCTCATCTTTCCCAGCAACGTTAGCGCGGCGGCGCCAAACACATCATCAACAATGGCGGACGTTGCTTTGCTATTGATGTTCATGGCTTTGCGGACCTACATCGACACACGCCTACACGGCGGATCAAACATGTTCGCGCGGCTCGCCTTTTTGCCTAGTAGCGTCCATTGTGTTGTTGTTAACTCGATTAGCTGCTATCGAAAAATGGCGGATCACAAAGTTTCTCTCGTCTTGTTGGTCACGGTAACCCCGCCCCCAGCCGCTGACGTAAGCGGTTCTTACTTCTAGACCAGCAATGATATGGTGCTACTTAAGAACCACTTTTACTGGTTCGGAGCTGGTGCTTTGGTGGTGGAAAACCAAAGAACCGATTTGAAAGTAGGTTCTGGCTCCGAACTAGCACCAGTTCTGCCTTGGTGGAAAAGGGGTATATGTGTATGGGCGTGTCTTCGTGGTGATGGATGGCGAGCTGAGCTGCAGTTGAAAGAAAGCAGCAACAGAGGAGAAATCATACATCCACTAATCTCTCTGTATCATAGAAGGAAAAATAAATTACAATAAACATTCCTGAGAAGTGACTTCATACAGAATGCCCCCCCCTCCTCACCTCCCTGACATAAAAGGGAACGTGAAGGACAAACGAGGGATGGAGGAGGATAGGATAGCTATTAGCGTCTGATTCGGAGGATGAGCAGAGGACACAAAACAAGAGTCTAATTGCCTGACTAATTGGAGCCTTTGTTTCCAGCTTCCCTCCATTGGGCTGAACGCGGAGAGGCAGACAAAGAAGCTCGACTGGGTTGGATAACACAAGACGCCACTGCTGGAGCGAAACAATATTCAGAGAGGATCATCCAAAATATGAAATATTTATTTGGCAAGAACATGCAGAGAGTTCTCTTTTTTTCATTTTTTCCCCCCACTGAGACACACTCCTTTCACGAGCATCTCAGAGAACGGGCAGTTGTACTGTGCGTTTATCTAAAAAAGACATATACAAAAGCCCGGGTGCACGACATCCTGAGGACAGACAGGCCGACTGAACGCACATTCACACAAACCCTCCGTATAACTAACCCGGAGTGGAACGTGGAAACGGAGACGGTTTACCGTCTGTTCTCGGTAAATACCAGTCCTCCTTCTCTCCCTTCATCTCATCCATCTGCCCCGCCGGCTGCAGCAATCTCCCCCATCCTACTCCTCCCGTATTTCCGCTCTTATTCCCACTAAATTTCTCATTCATGCCATCTTGCGTCTCTCTCTCTCTCGCCAGAATTTCTCCTTCTCCAACACCCACAGGTGGCCCTTTAAAAAAAACAAAAAAAAGCCTGTACTCGAGCTCTACATTTATGATCCCAGTGTTTAGAGCTGCCCCCAAGGAGACGCGCAAACGTCTCCCTTCTCCCCTCCGTTCCTCATGCATTCCTCTAATCCATCAGGGAGCTATCGCGCTGCTCTTCCCTGCAGCCTCAATAAATCCTCCTTCTTCCATCACCCCGCCCCTCCCCCATGTTCTCCCTCATCATCTGCTCTGCGCCCGTCTCCCCCCATCCTCCCTCTATCTGGTCCGTTGCTTCTTCTCGGCTATCTACCGCTTCCAATTCTGCTATATGTAATTATCTTATGTGGCGTAGCAGCATATTATCTTTTCCAATGCTTTTTTTCTTTTCTTTTTTCATCTCCACGCCTCCACTTCACCGCTTTGGGTTTTTGTATTAACACTCCTTCTCCTCCGCGGCTGCTGGCCTGAATGCGTGGATCCGTGAAGAAATATAACAAAACAAAAAATTTGCTACGCCTCGTTCTCCTGGGGTTTGTGCATTTGTGGCACACTGGGAAGCGTATGCTCATTTCATTACAGAAAAGTGAAATTACAACTATTACATTTCATCAAGGTCAAGTAATTCATGTGCGAGTGATACGCAAGAGGTACATTAGCAGGTTTGAAGGGTTTACCAAGGCCAACAACTTTTCCCTAATGTTAACAAATCCCATTATGTGACAAAAATCAAATGGGTTGTATAATAATAAAGTAGGTACTAAAGTATAATCTGTGAAGCCAAAGCCTGATGAAGCCTTTTGTTCTGGACCAGAGAGTTCTAATGTTGTCTAAAACGCACACACACACACACACACACACACACACACACAGACACAGACACAGACACACACACACACACACACACACACAGACACACACACACACACACACACACACACACACGCACAGACACACTAATAAGCCACGTCGGAATGTTCACTCATTACCACAAAGATGGGAACCAAACAAACAAACATGTTTGGAATTTGGGACAGAGGATGTTGCATGTGTACAGACTGAAAAGCCCTCTGAGGCCAATTTGTCATTTGCAATTTTGGGCTAGACAAATTAAAATTAATTCAAGTGTAAATGAACTATTTTTATTTGACCACGTTTAAAATCAGTCTCCAGTTAAAAAAAAAAACGGTTGGATGAGATTTCTGTCGTCAGTAGTGAGGAGCGTGTTTCTCCACGAGGCCACTCATTACTCTGTTGAAAGACACGAGAGTTTACAGCCGTTTTGAACAGCCACTCCGAGGCAGGTTGGGAAAAAAAAAACAATTGTATAAATATGGCAATAACATTACCCGCTTTCAGAGACAGTGACAGAACTGCACTAGAATTAAGAGCTTTACAGAGAAGCGTAAACCTCCTGCGCCCTCCTCACCTACGCACATTTAGCACAGTGGGCAAGAATGTTGACAGACGGGCTTTCGGGAGTTCAGACTCGGACCATCCGTCAAGCACTTTGGGTTGAGCTTCCCGACACCTTCAAGCCTCCGAAGACATAGAGCGTTATCTTTTCTGCAATTTGTGCCCAACTGTCGATCTCCTCGTAGCAAAATCCCAATACTCCCTTGATATTCAACAAGTCACTTTCCAAGCAGCTTAAATATCCCCCGGGCCGAGCCGCCCCTGCGTCATCATTACTCTCTCTAATCACGTCTGGCGAGAGGCGGCCCTGCCTCACCCGGCGGTGGCGCTCGCGCATTGCTGCCAATCCGACGTCCGCTACGACCGTCTCTCTCACGTCTCGAGAGACGCGAATCCGCCCCTCAAAGACGTCCCGATTAGACGTAAGCCCCGACACACGCGAGCATAGATTTGGTGCCTCGGCGGGCTGCCGTCACTCATAGAAACAGATGGCAGAGAGAGGGCCTGAGGGGAGGAAGTGGGACAGCAAAGGGACGGCTTCGGGTCCAATGCAAACGATCACCTTGAGCGGAGAGAGATGGCGGCGATAAGGTTGCTATTCACACGACACAGTCAGGGAGGTGTGTGTGTGTGTGTGTGTGTGGGTGAGACGGGTGCAATATTCAGCTCGCATCCTCGATCAGTATTCCTACGACGCCGTGAGCACAACTCCTATACTTTCCTCTCTAAAGTGCTCAAGTGTCCATGCCGGCTAATAGCGGGCAGTGCTTAAATGATTCAATTATAGATACTGAAAGATCCCACAGTGAAATAGCTGGCCGTTCTCCACTGGGTTTCCCCTCTTTGTTGCTGGGAAATCAGTGGTTAACGCCCGGCCTGTCGCGTCGCGCGTACGGGAAACAAACGTGGGCGTTTTTTCGGTGGGTTGACGGCAGAAGAATGAGCGGGGAAAGAAGAGACGAGTAAGGAAACCGGGGAGGGTGTTAAATGAAAAGGGCACACACACAAACATGTGCGCATGGAAAGGGAGGCCACACATCATCCAACGCCCACGTGTCTGCGGAGGATCCAGAGTAAATGTCATTTCCTGCCGCCCCGTCAGAAATGCCAGCTGTGGCATCTCGGATAACCTCGGACTCCACCTCCTTGCCGCGCCACTGTCGAAAGGTCTGCGGCCGCCATTTTGACTTTCAATCCCTCCTCTAATGTTCGTCTCATCCACAAAAAAAAGGGCACAGTCGGGTGGACGTGATCACACGGACGAACGTGCCGTTGAATCGCTTCGTCTTTGGCGGCGAGATTCGGCTCTGGCATCTTTCAAACGATATTCCTCCCAATCCTCGCGCTGTCAATCACACCGCAGCTGCTCGAAAAGGTTTCCGAAATAATTGATGCCAGGCACGCCGTCTGATTTAGCTCAGCACGCCGCTCAACGAGGTTCGGTTTATGGGAATTTTAGCAAATGTCAATCCCTCCCCGCGGATGTCTAAACAGCCCAAGGCTCACAGAGCGCGTGTCGCTGTTGACGGGGTTATCCGGGCTCCTCGTTGGACTTGTATCTTCCCCCGCTGTCACTCATCAAGCTGTTGTGACAGCACCTAACACTTGCTATCACTTCACACAGGAACGAGCAGAGGTGGAGACGAACACTCAACTTTCGACCCGACACGTGTATCGTTTCAAACGTCCGGTTGTAGGCGCCGTCAGACAGAAGTAGCTTGAGTCAAGTCAAGTTTGAGTATCGGTTTCGCCTTGCGAGTGTCCGTCCGTCCATCCATCCGCAAACCGCTTATCCTGCACACGGGGGTCGCGATCCCAGCCAATTTCGGCCAATAGACGGGGTACAACCTGGACCGGTCGCCAGCAAATTGCAGGGCAACAACCATCCACACTCACATCCACACACCTACGGGCAATTTAGAGTCACCAATCAACCTGATCCCCCGTGCACAGAAAGGCCATTGGGCGAAGTCGACCCCGGGACCTTCTTGCTGTGAGGCGACAGTGCTGACCACCACGCCACCGCCGTGCCGCCCCTACAACGCCTCGCCTTGCGAGTGTCATCATGGCAAAATGCAGTCCTCCGAGACCTGGCCTTGCAGTAGGTTTGATCCCAGCATCGAGGTTAGTGTGATCACAGTATCTGATTGAAGGCTTGTTTTTCACCCAACGGTGATTTTCCTTTCCAACTCCAACTCCTGATACACGTCCAACAGCAGGAAGAGCAGCAATCCTTTCAGCCAAGAAGCTGGGCAAGCAAATGTTTCGTATTTGCACAAAAAGGCAATCAATTTTCACTAATCCCAACTAAGCAAGTAACTGGTGGTGCGAGCGGTTTTGTGGATGGTTGTTAATACATTTCGTTTGACGATCTTGTATAGACGTGGATCGATTTCAGTGACATGAAAACCCCCAAAAGAGTGAAAGAAGGAAAAAAAGAGACTGACGGCTAAATGCTCTCCGTCCACCGGTTTTATGCAGCAAACTTCAGAATTTGAAAGCAGGCACATCTACCTCAAAACACTCCAGACACTAAACAGTGTGAGTCATTGCCTCCAGGTGGCTCTGGCCAGGCGCCGTGGACGACCACCCGATCTCCCAAACAGCTGCACTGATCCCTCATTTCCATCCATCCCAATCTATTTAAATTAACACCCTCACACACACACACACACACACACACACACACACACACACACACACACACACACACACACACACACACACACACACACACACAGGGAGAGAGAGAGGGAGATGGGTAAACGCAGGCTGCAACAATATCATCACGTTAGCCATTAAATATGCTGGTTATGCTTCGGTGCTCCAGCTACTGGAGGTCCCATCCTGACAGCAACACTACCAATTGCACTGGTTCCAGTAGATATATTTTTCGGGCTCAAGTGTACATTATTTCTGGTGCCTCGAGGGGGGGGGATGACTTCTCTGTGAAATGTGTGAACGCAGTGTGCAGCTTCCACTGTTCTCCCCGTCCCGAGTCAGAGAAGGTGACGGAGAGCTCGTGAGGAGGACGTCCGGGACAGTTTGCCAGAGCTCGTCCCCACGAGCCCACGCTTTGACATTTGTGGGAATCACACGGGGAAATCGCAGGACGCAGCGGGGACGGATGGGGGAGACGGGTCTGACCTGAAGAGACACTCCGATAAGCCACGTGTCTCGTTGCTTTTAAAGTGGGGTGTTTTGTTTCACAATTACAACGTAATAAAAAGATAAATATGTTCCATTCGGGTCTCTGAGTCCGAGACGCCTGCTCTTCGCATCGTTAAACACTCGCCACAAAAGGGCCTTCGTGGTGCAGGAAGACGCACACGCACCATTAAGCTCGGCACGACACTCCGAGAAGCGACTCCTTCTTCTGTTGTGCAGATGCTGCAGATGTGCACACG